CTTTGAAAACCATGTTGGTGAAAAATTGTGGGAAACAATCCAGAACATACAGAAGGCACAAAGTCAGAGAAGGCACAAAGTCAGATAATAATTGAAAGGGGCTGGAACAATTTGGCTATCTTGGCTGTCCAAACCTGGCATAAATCAGAATACTTTATTTATTTCACCCAAGTCCTCAGGACAACTAGAGAGTGACACAATTCTGTAAAAAACAAAATGGAAATGTTTGATCGAAGGAGAGGTGATATTATGAAACAAAAGCCTTCTATACAAAGATATTTTGCATTTATTACCTAAATCAGGTACGTCCAACCTGCAGCCCATGGTCACATATGGCCCTGTACAGTGAGTAATGTGGCCCCACAAGATAATAGAACATGAAAAAATAAAGGAAGTTTGTTATTTATATGCATTAACTATATTGTATATTTTATATATGGCCCAAAACAATTACTCTTCACTCGGTGTGGCCCAGACAAGCCTAGACAACTATGATCTAAATACAAAATATAGAGCAGAAAATGGTAGCCACACTGCAGATAAAGATTTCTTTTCTAGTTACCCAAATTCTGGTGACTGGTTTTCAAAGACAACCCCACTAAGCAATAGTTGCCTTATTATCTAACTCCAGTGTTACAATGTTGGAATAGATTCCTTCAAATGTATCTTCCCTTGTCTTTCTGAATGTCTACCTCCTCTTCACTGTGTCACTGTTGCCCATTTACTGTCCATCCACTCTTTTCTTCCATTGCACTCCACCCATGTACGTTCCTGATTTCACACTTGTAGAAGGTGGTGAACAAGGGGAAGAGTAAGAAGATGAAGCAAAACTGGGATTTCCCCTGTTAGCCTGGAGACCTCAGTGTCAATCACTGGTGAAAGAAACAGTGTCCTTCAAGACTCATCAAGCATGGGCCGCATGGGTCTAGATCAGGAGTATCAAACTCAATTTCATTGAGGGACGCATCAGGCTGTGTTTGACCTTGGGGACTAGGGTGGCCATGGTCAGGATGAGCATGGCTAGCTTGACATCACTTGTGTTGGGGCACCTGTGGTGGCCCTAGCGCTCTGCCAGCAAAAATGGGCTCCCAAGCTCCATTTTTGGCTGCAGTGGCTCCCTGCAATCCTCTGCCAACAAAAACAGAGCTCCATTTTTGTTGGCAGAGGCACTGCAGGCCAGTTCTTTGCTGTTTTCAGGGTGGCCCTGTGGGCCAGATCTAAGTACCCCATGGACCAGATCTGGTCCCCAGGCCTTGAGTTTGACACCCCTGGTCTAGATAATATAAAGTCCTTGACTGGTAAGGAGTGCTGAGGATTGAAGGTTCTTTCTCGGTCTTAACTTGCTTTCTCTTCAATCTGGCTCTCTGAGGAACATATTTAAGAAATAGCTAAGAGACAGCAATAAAATAAAACTTACCTGCAGGATACAGAGGATGAAGTCATGCAATAAACCTTAAATCCAGTTAACAAAAATGCAGTTGTTCTGTTTGTATGACATGCTAGGCCCAGAGAGCTAAACTGTATGGCTTAGCATGTCTAGTTCACACAAAATGCTAACACATAACTGTGTGACCCACAATATTTCAAATGACAATCTATCCATCCCCATTTTAATTGAGTGCCGTATCAACTAGCCACAGACTGACTTGCTGTTTTGCTCCATTACATGTAAAACCGAGGAACAGTTTATTTTGCCATTTTTATTATAAGTGTGGTTGAGCCACCTCTGGTCAAATATATTTTATGACACAGTCTTCCACAGCCCTTTATGCTCCTGTCTTCTACAGCCCTTCCCAGTAGAAATTTGTAGCTATGATTCTCATATCTCCCCATCCCAATCCCAGTCTTCTGCTGATATCTTTTGCTGATATCTAACTTTAGTGTCTTCCAAGGAGCAAATGTTATTTCCCAGGATCTCCAATGAAGGTTGTGCTAGTTGAGGAATTCTGGGAACTGAAGTCCACACATCTGGAAATTTCCAATATAGAAAACATTGGCCCATAACTAACTACATAGCCTCACTCTGACAAGTTTTAATTATATAGTGACTGCTAGTAAGGGAAGATCATATTTTTTTTCTTTAAGAAAGTTCAGCTGCTATGTTATCTAGTGTCTTCTGGACATCTTAGTGGAGCTGACTTTCAAAATTCCTTCCCAGTTTCTAGGGCTGAAGCTGTGAGGTGAGAACCACGGATTCTCAAATACACAGGTAAAAATGGATGATTTCTGCACATAGGTGTCGTCTATCTTGTTTTTGGTAGAACAATTTATCTAGCTCTATCATATCTGTTACTTTCTGCTGTTAAGTAAGTATCTGAATGCAGGTTTTAGTGTTCAAATTTATGGCCATGCTTGGCATGAAAGCTGGCATACTCTTGAATATGGATGAGGAATTTACTATCATCCCTCCATCTCCCCCCCCCCAGTTTTAAGCAAAGGTGCAAAAAATTTCTTAGGATTGGCTGCCCATCATTCGTTTTGGAGGCTCCATACTGTCTTTGTTGCTATGGATCTCAAAGCTATGGATTAATGGCTGTTGCTGAGTCAGAGTACACACGGAAGCTCATAAGCTGTGGCTCCACCCTATGCCCTGGTTTCCTTAAGAAGTAGATCATTGATCAGTCCTGAAGTTCAAAAGCTGTTTATAAAGAGATGATATCCATGTATGTGTGTATTCAGGACTTGGTACCATCCTGGGACAATCCAAATTCAGCCTGAAGAAAAACAGATTCTGCACCTGAATAAATTATGCAAAGGAAGCACATTTGCATACTTCTTCTATAATTTCTGCTACTAGGAATGGTGCTATACTGGCCTTATTCAATCTTTTCCTGGCATTCTAAAGTTCTATTTCTTGTTTTCAAATTTAGCTTAGAAACTTGGCTTCGATTTCTTTCTTTTTTTTTTAACAGCAAAGGATATTCTAGATGCTGAGGGTGAGCCTGATTAATTTCATTGAACTGGGTACTCCAAATTCTTATGCATTCATAGAGATGTCTTACAAATCTTTATGTTGTCCCCAGGGAACCATATTTGCAGAAGGGATATTTTGTTGTCTGCATAACTATCCATTTTAGTCACACACAACAAGAGTTATGGGAAGAAGTATACGTCCTTATGAGTTTAAATATACTTCTAGAAATGGGGCGGGGGGGAGAGAGAGAGAGAGAACTCTCCAGCCACTTATAACTCTGGTGAATATTTTATGTTCTACCATGACGGTGCATATTTCAAACTGGAATCCATGCCAATTACGTAAAGCAATTTTGCTGTGGCAGTCAGACTCCTCCCAATGTATCTCTATGGTGGGTTGGAATTTTTATTTTAGTTTTTCTTTGCTTGGCTTTGTTTATTTTTAAATAGCAATGATCTTCTCAGCTGCATCGACCGGAGCCTTGTTTGACCTCATAGAACTTTAGAAGGCCTTGCTTGAAAAGAAGTGGAGTGGGTGTGGGGATGTTTCAATGATAGCTGATGAGCCATTCCTAGAGGAATATACTATCCTACATTGGGTTTGCCTTCATGGGAATTGAGCTGTTTTGATTGTGGCTATCCAAAACCTCTTGTTTTTTTCTTAAGATTTAGATTGTTGAGAATTTGATCTCAATGGGCTTAGTATTCAAACATTCCTTTCACAGTATGATGAAGAAACTAATATGAATTTGACTAGCTTACTATGTTAAAACCCATCATCTGCTAGCAAAATTATTCTTTGGGTTGATAAAAGGCTTAGCAAATTTAATAAAATAAGTGAAAATATAATATTCATCCCCAAAAAAGATTTAGATATATTGGGAAGTCTGTGGATGTATCATAGTGATGGCAGCAGAAATAGTAAGGCAGAGTGGTAGAAACCACTCAGACTTATGGGGTGAGGTGGAGAAATGGATAGATGAAGGTTAAAAATAGAAATATTTCGCTTCTCTTGTTCTTCTCATGGTTACTTCTTTCATCATCACATTCTGGTGACCAAACATATAATGTTTGGTAAATGCTAAAATACTAAAGATAGGAGCAAGGGAAGATATGAAATAGTTTAAATGTGATTTGTAGAACTAGAAAAATGATTTCCCTGTGTATCTGAAGCATACAAACACAGTGATACAAAATAAACTGAAGCATTCAGGTTTGTAGCCAAGAGATTCCATCTGGTGATATATATATATCTTAAATATAAAGTGGATTCTCTAAGCAGGGACACACATGAAAAAAATAAAGTAAAAATGGAAAGAGAAAGAAAAGTAGTTTATGGTCTTGAGTGCATGTATGTAAAATTTCTAGAAAATATATATTGTGCTGTGTGAGAATGCTAGTTAATCATGGTTAACCTCCAGTAGCTGAGCACTCAGATAAGTATGCAATTATATGTGGCTTGTATATTTTAATTCCACCTAATTAAATCAGAAAATGATATGTAATTCCCACAATCCCCATTTGACTTGCACACAACACTCCAGTGAGGTAGAGAATTGACCCGAATTTAACCTCCATTCTCCACGGACTATGTAGTTGGGAATGAGTACAATAACAGGAGACTATTTTTCAGACCTGAAGTGTTAGGATGAGACAAGCTTGGTGATTCTTGTGAGAATATACAAGAAATACAGCAACAACATTGAAATGGATGTCATTACTTTAAAGACCTTGCCAGTTGCATGTGTATCTGTTTAAGTGCAGCCTGCGAGCTAGAAAATGTGCATAAACTATAAGGGAGTAACTGAGGATACAAGTATGTGTAAAGTGTGGGCATTGCCTATGATAGTTATAACCTCTTGCAATCGCCCCCCCCACACACACACCATTCTCAATTCCAGTTTACTCTACAATTCAATGAAAACGTAGAGCATTTACATGTACTGTTTTGAATAGTTACAGTTTAGGATTTAGACCCCTTTATTTTTCTCTTGGCAGTAAACTTTGTTATACCCCCTCCCCTCCCCCCATTTGTTTGCGGTTTCAAAGAGAGAAAAGATACCAGGCAGGCAATGACGAATTCTTACCTGTTTATCTGCCCCAAGGTCCTTCCAGCCAACTTCTTAAACTCTTCTTTTCGAAACTCCATGGCGTTTTGCTTCCTTGATTAAAAGAAAGAAGCGCGGGGATCTCCCTGCCCCGCTCCTTTCCCACTCTTTGGAGACACGAGCAGTTAAAGCCACAACATCAGGAAGGCTTCTTGGGGAGAGACTGGGTTGCACAGCGATCTCAACCCGTTCCTCTCCCCCGATGCCTTTCTTTTGCTCGTTTCGTGAGCTTCTTTCCCTCTTCCCTCGATTTTCGTTCTTTTCTTGCCTACTCTTTCCTTTCTAGCTCTTTTCTTCTTCCCCTTCTCTCTACCGGTCTCTCAGTTTTCTCTAGGACCCTCGAGATCTGTCAACTTGAGGAGCGGTACGTGGGGATGCGACCATCAACGGCGCTGCCGCCTGGCGCCCTGCCCGATCCACCAACACGGCCTGAAGCGTCATGGGGGCAGCTCTGCCGCCGCGCACTAGTGCCCGCGCCCTACGTGGGACGCTGCAGAGGGTCCCACTCTCTCCCCGCGCTTCCGCAGGCACCTAACCACTAGGGGGGTCAGCCTCCGGCAAGGGATTTGCGAAAACGGCGACTGATGGTGCCAGGGCTGACTCGGAGCTGCAGCGCGAACTTTCCCTGTCCCGAAAACCGGGACGCCGCCCAAGGTTGGGGTTTCAGCACCACGGAGAGCGACGTGAGAGCGCGCTACAGCGCCCAATGTGAGATTAAGGGAATCGCGACCTGTGTGAGCTGAGAGTCGAGTGGGGAGGGGAGAGATGGTGGCGGGCGGATAGAAGAGATTAGGGGGGGGGGGGTCATGGATGGAAAAATGAAAGGCAGCGAGTGGGGAAGGAGGGTTGTAAGTATAAAAACTGAGGTTCTAAAAGTGGGGCAAGAGATTCTGGGTACGAAAAGAATACCAAAAGAAGAGAAAAAAACAGAACGGGAAAGCAAAAAGTGAAAGGTGTTGGAAAGAAGAAAAACTAATATAACGAATAGAAGTGACAACTTTATTTAGATTGAGATCTGGATTGAGGTCTTCTGAAAAGATGAAGATGAAAAGAGAAGGGGAGGGGAGAAGAGAAGAGAAGAGAAAAGAGAAGAGAAGCTGGGGCAGGATGCAAGACTTCCTTGCAAGTCGCGGCCACGTCCCAAGAGAAGGCCCAGTAAGAAGCTCAGAATCATTAATCTTTCAAAAGAACTGAACTAAACTGAGACAGGAAGAAGCTGGGATTGGGGTGGAACACAGTCACGGCAGTCAGGGGCAAGACAGGAGTAAAGGAAGGAGAAAAGGAGGTAAAAATTGTGGGGGGGGGCAAAAATTTCCCTCTAGCAGCCTCTGGAGATTGGGAGCAGATAAATGAATGAAGGTTCTCTCTCCCAGATCCAAATATAAGCAAAACCCTCAAGAAAGCAGTGAATTGGGGCCCCATTCCCATGAGGCATCAGCACCTCATGGGAATGGGGTGCTGTGATCATTCGTGATCAGGGCCGGAGCATGAAATAATGTACAGGAAGCCTCACTCATTTGGGATGATGCTCTTCTTGTCCTTTTGATAGGCTGTTACATCACATTAGCCATGAGAAACAAAATGGTCCAAAGCAATCTAGAGCAGTGGTTTTCAAGTTTGACAACTTTAAAAAGTCTAGACTTTAACCAACAGAATTCCCCAGCATGCTTCAACTCTGTTGGCTGGGGAATTCTGGGAGTTGAAGTTCAGACATCTTAAAGTTGCCATGGTTGGGAAATACGGATGTAGAGTCAAGTAGATGCAGATAATCCATCCTGATACCAAAATCCTATGCCTTGAATTCAGAAGGAAGATCCATTTTCCCCCCAATTCTGCATTCTTACATTCTATGAAAACATGCTTTTGACTGGTGCACACTTTTCTGTATGGCTGTCTATATTTCCCAAAGGCAGCCACCCCAACATAGTGTCCTCCAATTGTGTTGAACATCCATCATTCAGATATACTGTAGCTTCAGAGTGGTGAGAGTTACAGTACAAAACATCTGGAGAATTTGGAAAAGGCTGCTGTGGTTCATCTTCTACAAGATGTTCTGTTAGTTTTGTTGTTGTGGCATCTGTAGAATTATCTCATTTTATACCGATATTCAGTTAGTTTAAATATATTTATTCCACATAAATATATTTTATATTTGGGGGAGGGAGAAGAATTGCAATTATAAGCATTTTAATTTGTTAGTCGGTATCGACTTATATTTAGTAAATGGTCAAACAATTCCAGAAATGGGAAATCAGTCACTGCTACAATTTTGCTTGATGAATTGATTCAGTTCCACAAAAATCTTGTTAATAAAATAAAAATATCAAATGAAAAATGGTTGTTTTTGAACGTAGTGGCATTCTTCCCAAAATATATAATATTATTAAAGAGCATTGATTTGGCTTTCTGCATTATACAGAGAACAAAATAAAAGCAACTTTTTTTTTAATCCGCCTGGCTGGATATATACAATTTATGTAAATGAATGCAGACATGCAAACTTTTACCAGAAAGATAAACAGCAATAGTCACATGGATAAATTTTCTGCTTTTATGTCTCCTAGTTACAACCTTTCAGAATTAATGTGGGTTATTTTTCCTACATATTTTATTTGTTAAAGGCAAACAGTCTGTAAATTGCTCTGAGACCCTTCCAAGATGAAAAATAGGGGAATAAGATGAATGGGTGATAATATTTTATTAATTATTTACATAATTAATAATGCTTTGATGACCATTTTAGAGCATGTCCTCTTTTCATTGACTCTCTCATCCTTAACGGTCAGCTGAGGAACCTTAAAGTCATCAGTAGTTTGTAAGATCCCAATCAGAACTTCCACTTTCCTTAACTTTCTTCATATCCTGGAAGGAATACTGGCTCCATTACAAAGGTGGCATGGAATGTTCAAAATGAATAGAACTGTCTTCTGAAAATTTATTCAGTTCCACTTAAAGCCATCCAAATCAGGATATATCACTAGGGCAAGTAAGGGATGAATTCCACAGGCTAATTATACGTTATATAAATACTATGCTTTCTTTTGTCTCCTTTTAATCCTCCAATCAACCCTAGCCCTAGTATTTTAAAGCAGTCTTTCTCAACCTTAGCAATATTAAAATGTGTGGAGTTGAACTCCCAGAATTCTCCAGCTAGTATGGGTTGAGGTCTACACATCTTGATATTGCTAAGGTTGGGAAACACTGTAAGGATGGACAAGCTATTCTTTCTATCCACTTTTTCCATAATGTTATACACCTTGATCATGTCCTTCCTCACTTTTTGTTTTGGCTAAACCGGAAGATCCAAACTGTAAATGTTTTAGTTTTTTTCTCCAAGGGAAAGAAACTAATATGCTTGGGAGACCACAGATTATCTGTTAGTAATTGGATTGCATGGATTTTAGCATAAGTAAATGAGATCCAATAGATTGGGAAGTCACATAAACATCTTGGAAATAAAATAGCAACCTACCTCACTATTGCTGCCAAGAAAATTTTATGGAAAAATTATCAAAAGTTGAAGTCAACTTTAATTTATCTTTATCTTTTAATATAGACTCATCCATGTAGGTCATAATATTATTTGCTTGCTTGATTTGATATTTGGTATAAACTCAGAAATATTAGTTTTAAATCACAGTTTATGGTAGTGTGTTTTTTGTTGCTGTTGTTAGTTGCAAAGTCATGTCCGACCCATTGCGACCCTATGGAAAACATTCCTCCAGGCCTTCCTGTCCTCTACCATCCTCTGGAGTCCATTTAAACTCACACCGATTGCTTCAGTGATTCGTTCCAGCCACTTCATTCTCTGTCATCCCATTCTTCTTTTGCCCTCAATCTTTGCCAGCATTAGGCTCTTCTCCAGTGAGTCCTTCCTTCTCATTAAGTGGCCAAAGTATTTGAGTTTCATCTTCAGAATCTGGCCTTCTATAGCACAGTTAGGGTTGATCTCCTCTAGGACTGACCGGTTTGATCGCCTTGCAGTCCAAGGGACTCGCAGGAGTCTTCTCCAGCACCATAGTTCAAAGGTCTCAATTCTTTGGCGCTCAGACTTTCTTATGGTCCAACTTTCACAGCCATCCATTGCAACTGGGAAAACCATAGCCTTGACTATACACACTTTTGTTGGCAGGGTGATGTCTCTGCTTTTTAGTGTGCTGTCTAGATTTGCCATAGCTTTCCTCCCTAGGAGCAAGCGTCTTTTAATTTCTTGGCTGCAATCCCCATCTGCAGTGATCTTAGAGCCCAGGAAAATAAAGTCTGTCACTACCTCCATTTCTTCCCCATCTATTTGCTAGGAATTGAGAGGGCCGGATGCCATAATCTTAGTTTTCTTAATGTTCAGTTTCAAGCCAACTTTTGCACGCTTCTTCTTCACCAGCATCAAGAGGTGAAGCATCTTTGCTTTCTGCCATTAGAGTGGTATCATCTGCATATCTGGCATTATTGATATTTCTCCCGGCAATCTTAATTCCAATTTTTGACTCATCTAGCCCCGCCTTTCTCATGATGTGTTCGGCATATAAGTTAAATAGTCAGGGTAACAGTATACAGCCTTGCCAGACTCCTTTCCCAATTTTGAACCAATCAGTGGTTCTGTGTCCAGTTCTCACTGTTGCTTCTTGACCCGCATATAGGTTTCTCAAGAGACAAATAAGATGGTCTGGTACTCCCATCTCTTTAAGAACTTGCCAGAATTTGTTGTGATCCATAGAATCAAAGGCTTTAGCATAGTCAATGAAGCAGAAGTAGATGTTTTTCTGGAATTCCCTATCTTTCTCCATGATCCAGCGTATGTTGGCAATTTCATCTCTAGTTCCTCTGCCTCTTCGAAATCCTGCCTGTACTTCTGGTAGTTCTCGATCCACATATTGCTGGAGCCTAGCTTGTAGGATTTTAAGCATAACTTTACTAGCAAGTGAAATGAGTGCAATGGTGTGATAATTTGAACATTCTTTGGCATTGCCTTTCTTTGGAATTGGAATATAAACTGAACTTTTCCAATCCTGTGGCCACTGTTGAGTTTTCCAAATTTGCTGGCAAATTGAGTGTAGCACTTTTACTGCATTGTCTTTTAAGATTTTGAATAGCTCAGCTGGAATACTGTCTCCTCGACTAAGTTTGTTGTTGCTCAGGCCCATTTGACTTCACATTCCAGGATGTCTGGTTACAGGTAAGTGATCACCCCATTGTGGTTATCAGGGATGTTAAGCTCATTCTTGTATAGTTCTTCTGTGTAATTTTGCCACCTCTTCTTAATCTCTTCTGCCTGCCATTTTGGTCCTTTATCATGCCCATCTTTGCATGAAACGTTCCTTTCATATCTCCAATTTTCTTGAAGAGATCTCTGGTCCTCCCTATCCTATTGTTTTCTTCTATTTCTTTGCACTGTTCATTTAAGAAGGTATTCTTATCTCTTCTAGCTATTCTCTGGAATTCTGCATTCAATTGGGTATCTCTTTCTACTTTGCCTTTCGCTTCCCTTCTTTCCTCAGCTATTTGCAAAGCTTCCTCAGACAGCCATTTTGCTTTCTTGCATTTCTTTCTCTTTGGGATGGTTTTAGTTGCTACCTCTTGTACAATGTTGCAAAACTCCATCCATAATTTTTTAGGCACTCTATCAGATCTAATTCCTTGGATCTATTTGTCACCTCTACTGTATATTCATCAGGGATATGATTTAGTTCATACCTGAGTGGCCTAGTGCTTTTCCCTACTTTCTTCAATTTAAGCCTAAATTTTGCAATGAGAAGCTCATGATCTGAGCCACAATCAGCTCCTGGTCTTGTTTTCACTGACTGTATAGAGCTTCTCCATCTTTGGCTGCAGAGCACATAGTCAATCTGATTTCTGTGTTGACCGTCTGGTGATGTCCATATGTAGAGTCATCTCTTGGGTTGTTGGAAAAGAGTGTTTGCTATGATCATCGTATTCTCTTGACAAAATTTTACCAGCCTGTGCCTTGCTTCATTTTGTACTCCAAGGCCAAACTTGCCTGTTATTCTGGTTATCTTTTGGCTTCCTACTTTAACATTCCAATCCCCCATGATGATAAGGACATAATTTTTTGGTGTTAATTCTATAAGGTGCTGTAGGGCTTCATAGAACCAGTCAATTTCATCCTCTTCAGCATCCGTGGTTGGGGCATAGACTTGGATAACTGCGATATTGAATGGTTTGCCTTGGATTCGAACTGAGATCATTCTGTCATTTTGGGGATTGCATCCCAGTATTGCTTTTCCTACTCTTTTATTGATTATAAGGCTACTCCATTTCTTCTGAGGGATTCTTGCCTGCAGCAGTATACCTGATGGTCATCTGAATTAAATTCACCCATTCCTGTCCATTTTAGTTCACTGATTCCTAAGATGTCAATGTTCAGTCTTGTCATCTCTTGTTTGACCATGTCCAGCTTGCCTTGATTCATGGATCTTATGTTCCAGGTTCCTATGGAGAATAGATCTTTACAGCATCAGATTTTCCTTTCATCAACAGATACATCCACAGCTGAGCGTCCTTTCGGCTTTGGGCCAGTCACTTCACTCTTTCTGGCACTACTCGTACTAGCCCTCTGCTCTTCCCCAATAGCATATTGGACACCTTTCGATCTGAGGGGCTCAACTTCCAGCGTCATATCTTTTTGCCTTTTTGTACTGTCCATGGAGTTTTCATGGCAAAGATACTGGAGTGGGTTGCCATTTCCTTCTCCAATGGGTCATGTTTGTCAGAACTCTCTGCTATGACCTGTCCGTCTTGGGTGGCCCTGCATGGCATAGCTCATAGCTTCATTGAATTACGCAAGCCCCTTCGTCATGACAAGGCAGTAATCCATGGGGGAGAGGGGTAGCCAGAGCTTTAATAAATTGTGATTTATTAAATAAAACTGTGTTAAACAAAGGGTTTTTTAAAAGAGTTGAGTGGCCTTAACAAATCTAATTAATAGATAATGCCTTAACTGGCAACCTGAATTTGTAAGCCTAAAATAGTTGTCTTCAGGGATTGATGGAGTATAGTCCAGATTCCCAGGAGGGGGGGAATCCCATTTTTCAGAGGATCAAGAGACAACAATGTTTAGATAGTTTGTTTGGGAGGGTCAAGACAGCTCCTCCCTCCGAATTTTCAGAGTGCATCATTGGTGATACAAGTAGTTTGCTTTAGTTTGGCAAGATTTCTGTCCTATAGGTGAGGAACAAATAAAGGAAACTGATTAGCAGTAATTCAGTATGCTTTCTTGGTTTTTGAAGCCTGACAAAGGCAATGTGTATAAATGTCTGTGTGTGCATACATTTCAATCAATCAATCAATCAATCATCTATTGGCATCTGTAGGATCCAGTCCTTTCATCCAAATCAAAATGGATGGATGGATGGATGGATGGATGGAGGATGGATGGGTATCTGCCACAGGAATGGGTGTAGAGTACTTGATAAAAGCAGCATTGCACCAATACAATACAAGCTCTGTCCATTTTGTAGATCCAAATCAAAAGGAGGTATTGTTCTAGGGCCTCAAAGCTCCTCTCCTTTCTTATAAGTATGGAGTGTCATGACCCATGTGCAAAATGGGAGGGGCTTGTATTGCATTGGTACAATGTTGCTTTTATTAATTGCCCCATAGCCATTCCTGTGGCAGATGTCCATCCGTCCATCCATCCGTCCACCCATCCATCCTTTCCTTACCCAATAGATGCAGCAAACATCCCTATATGCCAGAGACTGTTTTAAAAATCAGCTGATAGCTTCACTTCTGAGTCTAGCAAAATCTGATCCCGTGGAACCTGAGACTCCAACAAAGCACTAAGCATAATTCAGCTCCATGCGCTGGAGCTGAAAGCCTCATTTTAGTAGTGAAACAGGAGGCAAAGAGGCAGGCCAAGGCAGCAGGAATATGTCAGAGTTTGTGCTAGGTTGGCTCATTTCTTTCTCTTTCCAGACTCAGGGGACAGACCAGCTGTCAGCTGAGTCACAGGCGGTCAGGGAGTTGGCAGTGGTGAAGGTGAAATGTGACTTTGGAAGGGAAGAGAGACCCAACAGGATGCAGATGGTGCTAAGTAGGAGCAAAGCAAAGGCCGAGGGACAAAGCAGCCTTGGGAACAAATGAAGAGGGAAAAATTTTTTGCTTAACCCAGGTGAGTTCTGTTTATTCTGTTACTCGGAGACGATTCCCTTCATCTTGGGTCTTCTAGTTGTGTTAGACTACATTTTCCATTATCCCCAGAAGGGTAATTCTCCAATCATGGTCTATTTCTTTTTAAACTCCAATTTTGTGGGGCATATGAAATGGAAAAAAGAATTACTTTTTAAATCATACCTTTGCTCCTTGTTACGCTGTGTAGAACCTGCACTTTGATATCACAATTTTTGATAATTTGTGATAGGCAGATAGTCCTTGACTTACAAAAGTTCATTTAATGACCTTTCAAAGTTACAACAGCACTGAAAAAAGTGACATGACCATTTTTCACACGGCTATTGCAGCAGCCCCATGGTCACATGATCAAAATTCAGACACTTGGGAACTGGCTCATATTTATGACAGTTGCAATGTCCCAGGGTCATGTGATCTCCTTTAGTGACCTTCTGACAAGCAAAGTCAAGGGAAAGCCAGATTCACTTAACCGTATTACTAACTTAACAAATTCATTTAACAACTGTGGCAAGAAAGGTCATAAAAGGAGGCAAAATTAATTAACAAATGTTTCACTTAGAAACAGAAATTTTGGGTTGAATTGTGGTCATAAGTCCAGGACTACCTTTTATAGAGTATAATTTAATTATTAAAAGTAAGTGGAATATTTATTTCTTGCCTGAGCCTCAAAAGAAAAGACTAATTTTATTCATATTGGAGGTGACTTTTGCATGAATTCATTTTTAAATACAAGGGGTCACGATACCCCAACATTTGAGAACCCATACACTGAATCATAGAGAGTGCAGAGGCACTAAGCCAAAATGAAATGAACCATGCTGCTAACTGTGAAATGTGAATGAACCCTGGGAAACTGTCAAATGTGAATTGGTGGAGATGCCAAATCCCCAGCATATTTATTCCTCAAGCTCTGCATGACTGGCTCTACCCAAACATGTTGCCTATTGGCTACTACTTGAGCCTTTTCAGTGGTTGTCTCCGAGACTGTTGACATGCAGGGCTTCCATTCTACCATATTGTGACCCCTTAATAGGAGCTGGATTGGAGACTTTGGTTTCTGGGCTTCTCCAAAAAGCAATGGTGCTTGAATGGACTCCAATTGCAATCTTGTATCCTAGAAGGCTGCTTTTCAATTTCAGTAATTTTATGGACTTCAACTCCCAGAATTCCTCAGTCAACATGCCTGGTTGAGGAATTCTGGGTGTTAAAGTCCACACAACTTAAAGTTGCTAAAGTAAAGAAACATTACAGATGGGCCTTCACTCACAACCACAGCTGGGATCAGAATTTCCATTGCTAAGCAAGGCAGTTATTAAGTGAGTTGTGTCTGATTTTATTGCCTTTTTTTGCCATAATTGTTAAGTGAATCGTTGCAGTTTTTAAGTGAACCACACAACTGTTAAGTGAATCTGGCTTTCTCCATTGACTTTGCTTGTTGGAAGCCAGTTGGGAAGGTTACAAATGGCAGTCACATGACCCTGGGATGCTGCAATTGTCATAACAGCAAGACTAGTCGTAAGTTACTTTTTTCACTGCCTTGTAACTTTGAATAGTTGCTAAACAAATGGTTTTAAATGAAGATTACTGTATCCTAGAAATTAATTACAGGTAGTCCTCGACTTGCATCCATTTGTTTAGTGACCATTTGAAATACAATGATACTGAAAAAAAAGGGACTTATGACCATTTTTCACACTAGCATTGAAAAAAGATCACATGATCACATTGTGGTCACATGATCAAAATTTGAACAGTTGGCAACTGGCTTACAACAGTTCATTTAGTGACTGTTCAAAATTACAAAGGCACTGGAAAAAATGACTTACACAACCATTTTTCACAGTTACAACCTTTGAAGTATCCCCATGCTCATGTGATCAAACTTCAGATGTTGGTTCATACTTATGATTGTTGCTAGGTATGTGATCACCTTTTGCAACCTTCTGACAAGCAAAGTCAATGGGGAAGCTAGATTCACTTAACAACCAGGTTACTAACTTATCAAGTGCAGTGATTCACTTAACAACTGAGGCAAGAAAGGTTGTAAAATGGGGCAGAAGTCACTTAACAAATGTCTCACTTAACAATATAAATTTTGGTCTCAATTGTGATCATAAATTGAGGATTACCTGTATAGCTTACTTGATTCTCCTCGAGTCAACTAAGAATCCCCCCTATTTCATGTTGCCCCTACCTGTGCTTAAGTATCTAAGGAGACTGAGTAGCTTTGTGGGCTGATAAATGTTTAAAGAGACACCAAACTGAGTCCCACAGCTAGCATCATCCTCATTGCACCCTCCCTCCTGCTCCCTCCTGTTTCAGAAATCAGCAGAAAGGATAGAATGAGTGTGGAAGTGGTGCAAACGATGAGACGGTTTCTTAGTGAGGAAATGCCACTAGTTGCACAAAGCAACAACGTACTTGAACTAATTTGACAACACCCTGCAGTCTGGGGTCATCAGGGTGATGCAGTGATATCTGTGAGCTGAGAATATTTACAGACTTTCTTACCTGCCCCTCAACAGAATTGCTGCAAACACAAATCATCTTCCCAGATATGATTCCCTATGAGGCTTGCTACAATTTCATGGACATTCTCAGTCATCCAGGTCATGGTTGTCCCAAAGGTGCTTTTTCAAAAGACAACTCGACTTTGTTCTTTCTGCACCTTTGGGACCAGCTATGTGTCATGTTTCAAATGTGCATATCTGTGCAAGGGTGTTTCTCTATGTGTTTAAATCTTGAAGTATACTTTGTTTGGAGAGGAGATTCTGCCCCCCTTTTTAGGGCATAATATAGGGCACAGGTGTCAAACTTGCCGCATGTTGCCGTCACATGATGGAAACACATTTCATGATGTTTTTCCCATTCATGGAACTGGGGTGGGCATGGCCTGCGCATGATGCATTTGGCCTGTGGCCCGTCAGCTTGACACCCCGATATAGGGCTATATTCTTTCAGCTGATAGCAATAAGTAGAACAGATAACAATACAGGCAATCCAATCCTTGACATATGACCTTAACTAAGCTTGGAATTAAGGTCATAATGTGGCAGTTGTTCACGGGATTACCATGTGACCCCATCCATTTTTTGTGGTTGTCATTAAGTGAACATCATGATCATTAAACAAGTACCACAGTTGTTAAACCCAATTTGCACCCAATTTGCTGGAAATCAGAAATAAATGCAGAAAACCAGCAAAAAACACTAAAAATTGTGGTCATGTCACTGAGGGATGCTGCATAAACACAAGCCAGTTGCCAAGCATCCAAAATGCAATCTCTTGACAACGGGAATGAGGATGGGGTAAGGGTTGTATAGCCTTTGGAACTTCAAAATCGGGTAATAAGTACAGAATTTTGGTTGCTAGGGGACCAGCCATTAAGCAAGGACTACCTGTAGAGAATTGAAATTATTAGAAATTTATAGAATAAGAGTGGCATTGGCTCCTCTCTCAATTAAAGCCCACAATGGTAAGGACCAGAGCGTGAGCAGTTGCATTCTTGTATAATGGCAGAGACTGAGGGTGGAATCAAAAGAGGAATCAGCCAAGAGTCATTATGTAGCCACCAATGGACTAAGTCCAACCCCTCTTGCATTCCAATAACCCTGATCTACTGCTAATAGACTGCTAACCATTAGTTGACTAGCTTTTTGTGCATAGGCATGAGGCAATAAATCAATTTAATTAGGGCTTGAGGGCTTGGTGCTCTCTGAGCTTGGTTGTTTTCTTGCAGACATTTTATTACCCAAACTAGGTAACATCATCAGTGCTAATTGGAACCTAACACGTGGCCTTGGTCTTTCACACCTGACAAGTTTCCTTTCTCACTATTACACTTAGGCGGCCTTTCCAACCTTGCATCTTTCAGCAAATGGTGCTGTGAGCTGGCATGAAGGAAAGATCATCAGAGCCAAAAGAAAACCATTCTATCTGTGAACTGTAGTAGTGGAAGCTCAGCTCAATCTGGAGACCCAGGTTGGGGAATGCTGTGCACAGGAGTCAAGAAACAGATGCTCTTTCACTTCTTAAGAGAGAAAAATGATCTGAACCGACCATCCCCATTTTCTGAACCAGAGAACCTCTAAGCCAGCCATTTGCTTCTTCTCAAGATCCCAGACACCTCTCCAAGTAATTAGCAAGTAACTCAGCAGGGTAAAGAAAATGTCCCACAACGTGAGATGCAGCATATACATTAATAAGATGTAAATGTATTCAGAGTGAAAATAGTGTTGGCAGAGGATAGCAAGGGGGAGAAGGCAGATCCCTTGTCATTTTTGCAATGCTAGATCAACATCATTCCTCCTCTCCCTCCTTCCACCTTGTTTGCTTTGATGAAAGAATCAGGGTGGTGAGAACAAAGCTATGACAGACATCTATCCATATTTGCAGCTTGCCCAGGATCATTGTTAGGATGTATTCTTCATACAATGTACTGACCCTCCGCTGGTTCAACTGGGTAAGTATACTTAACATGATAAACCTTCTCCAACTTGAGTGTCTTCCAGATAGTAGGAATACTCAGAATTCTTGGCCTTACAACCATATAACATCTGGGGAAAGCTACAGTAAACTATAAACCATTATTTACTAGATACACGGGTTACTCTCACCCAATTTCCTGATGTTTTGCAATGATTAGTTAATGTTTCGAACTGCTTAGACCTGTGTTTCTCAACCTTGGCAACTTTAAGATAAAGCCTTAGTAAGACCACACCTAGAGTACTGCATCCAGTTTTGGTCACCACACTATAAAAAAGATGTTAAGACTAGTATAAGTACAGAGAAGAGCAACCAAGATGATTCAGGAACTGGAGCCTAAAACATGATGAACAATTGCAGGAACTGGGCATGGCTAATCTAGTGAAGAGAAGGACCAGGGGAGACATGATATCAGTGTTCCAATATCTGAGGAGCTGCCACAGAGAGGAGGAGGTCAAGCTATTTTCCAAATCTATTTTCCAAGGAATAATGGATGGAAACTGAACAACGAGAGATTCAACCTGGAAATAAAAAAAATTCTGACAGTGAGAACAATCAACCAATGGAACAGTTTATCTTCAGAAGTTGTGGGCACTCTATCACTGGAAGCTTTCAAGAAGACACTGGACTGCCATCTGTCAGAAATGGTGTAGGGTCTGCTTGGGCAGGGGGTTGGTCTAGATGACCTACAAGGTCCCCTCCAACTCTGTTAATCTGTCTGTTTTAAAAAAAATGTGTGGACTTCAACTCCCAGAATTTCCTAGCCAGCATGGGAATTGAAGTCCACACATCTTAACATTGTGAAGTTGAGAAACTCTGTTTTAGACAATGATTAAACAGAACTGAGTTTACTGGAACATTGGAAGATTCTTCTATTAGTTCCAATTATTTATCAGTTTAGTCCAGTATTGCTTTGACAAGCTCAGATTTGTATCCAGTTTAGTTTTAGCAAAACCTTTCGAAGCAGAAATATTTTCTAACCTCTCTTTCCCAATCTCTGTCCATGCCAATGATTAAACATGGGCCTTTTTTCTAGGAAGATCTATTGTACAAGACATCTATGCTCTCGGGTCTAATCTGTAGATGTATATTCACTTGATTCCACTGTATTTATTACACTGGTGTTAGGAGAAAATATAGACATTGTCTTACTACAGGGACTGTCACATTCGTGTCTCAGTAATCAAATGACAAATTATCATCCGGGAAAGAATTGTCTCCTGCCTAAACACATTTATATCTTGGAATTCCTTGTGAAGGCCAGAGGAAAGGGGCACTTATGATCTATCTATCTATCATCCTAATCCAGGCTGGGACAGGCAGTTGGAAAATTTCTGAATATTTTGGACTTTATCTTCCATCAGCTCTATCAATGATAATAGTTTATAGGAGATATTGTCCAAAATATCTGAAAGGTAATGCTAGATTGCTTTTCTATCCCATTCTGTGAATAAGAATTAGGATTAGCCTTAATTCTCCAGTCCTCTGCATTCCTAATACCTCTTTTATATCCATTCAACTGGAGCCAAGTCTGTTTGAAATGCTCCTGAACCATATTAGTATTTTGAAAACTCTAATCTAGGCTTTCCACATAGATGTTGCTATGCAGGGATTCCACATTGAAATATTTACACTTAAATATAATATTCCCCCAGAGAAGAGGCAGGCCCCCAGTCTTCTGGTTTGCAGAAGAGCTTGAAGACCTGGCTCTGCCAACTCACATGGAGCATTCAGAGGAGCACCCTTGGGGTTGGTTAGTGCTTTGGAGATTGTCTCCTTGCCATTTTAATTTTAATTATTCTCTTGTTTTAACTACCTCCTTTTACTGAAATATATATTTTATATGACTTTGTATTTTTAATTGTACACTGCTGAGTCACAAAGTGAGATAGCAATAGCAATAGCACTTACACTTGTATACCACCTCATAGTTCTTTATAGCATTCTCTGAGCAGCTTAGAAATGACAGCATATTGTCTCCAACAATCTCAGTCCTCATTTTATTGACCTTGGAAGGTTGGAAGGCTAAGTCAATCTCAAGCCCCGTCAGGATCGAACTCCAGGCTGTGGGCAGTTAACCAGCAATTCTGCATTCAAATCATTGCACCACCAAATGGGCAATCTCTAAATTCAGTTAATAAAATAGAGAGCCATTGCAATGAAAAAACTCTTTACAGAGTTAAATCAGCTGGGCCTGCTCTTCTTGCTAGTAAAAAAAGTGGCTAAGGGCCCCATCTGACTCCCAGCCAAAACCACTGAGAGGAAAAGCAACCTGTAGTAAAATTTAAATCTGTCCCATTGCTCTCCAGCTCCCATGAGCAACAGGGGATTGAAGAGAAAACAGGCTGTTTTAAGGAAAATGAGACAGACGGTGTGAAGGGGAGCAGGCGGGGGTGGTGGTGATGGACATGTGCTGATGGAACAAGCTGTACGGAGAGTGGGGAAGAACATGGATAAAGATGGGAACAGGATATTTGTATGTCTCTAAGTTGGAAAGAAGAGATGGTAACTGTAAATGAAGAGAAAATGAGGTGTAAACTCCTAATATTCTCTACTAATACACAAAAATTACATATTAAAGGGCCAAGGATTCAGGTCCCAGCACATCCAGGTAAAAAGATGCAAGCAACAAACAGCAGAGATGAATGAAACGGCCCATCTTGTTTCACCTCAAAGTTGATTTCTATGTGTTGGGGAAGGGTAGATCACTTTCCCTAATAATATTTTAAAAATTTAAAAATCTCCTAATATCATGCACAAACATATAAAATATGTGCAGTTTTGTATGCATTTTCCCCAATACCTATATGCAGAAGCCATAACATTTGGAATAAAATATCCAAAAAATTAATAGCATTTTAGCATATGTATTGGTACAGAAATGCCAAATGATGCTAGTTCATATTAATCTACAAACAAAATTCCTTCTCCATTTCTATAAATCAGGACTGGCCATCATGGAATGCTGTTTGAGCAAAATGCTAGAATAAACATATCCAGATGTAGTCAGAGAAAAGAATTTAAGTCTGCAATGTATGGTTGAAACCTAATTCTGAGAGAGGATTGGGTTGGTTTGTCATTGTTAGAAAAGAAATCTAAAGAATTAGGGCCATCTGAGATTATTTGTAGTTGTTTTGTTTTGTATTTGTTTGTTTGTTTAGAAAGATATTAGACAATCCATGCCCCACTGGGTCATTGTTTCAGCGGTTTTTCCTCACCTAAATAGAGAAACAGAAGGACCAAGGGTGGGCAAAAAAGCAGTTGCAGCAGGTGTGAGTTTTGACTTCCTGTCAGCTTCCCCATTGAGTTTTCCTGTGGGAATTTGGCTTAGGAGCATTGGAAATCATCCTTCCTTCCTTCCTCCCTCTCTCCAAGTGGCTGCTGCTGGGTGGGGGAAGAAGCAAGGGATTGCAAGACTGGCTGGGAAACTGTCACAGAATTTAAAATGAAGATCATATGACTGCAGCAGAAACTCAGCAGTGCAGCATCATCCAGTAGTATTGAAGCAACCGCACTTTCCCAAATTTCATTCTCTTGAAAATCATGGGTCCCATAGTTTGGATGCATTCTTTAAGTTAGCCCATATGAAGAACCTTGGTTCAAAAATTAATGTATTGCCCTAAGATGCACTATTTCACACAGTTAAAGGTCAGGATGAATTTTAATAGCATATGGATTCTAATGTAGCTCAGCCCTCTGGACATATTAATTTATTCTTTAAGACAATCTTTCATAGCCTAGGAGCCTCCAATTTTTCAAAAACAGGTAACAAACATGCCATCCTTCTTAGCAGGATGGGAAATCCATTTTCTTCCTTCTCTTTTCCCCAAAACCAGAAGAGGGCAATGCAGAAATCAGTCACAAAAATTTGCATGAAACATCAGTGGGAGGAGTCATACAAATCAAAATGGCACCTATGATAAAAGAATTTATCTCTCTTCTTGACTTTTTTGGCCCCGCCCACAGAAATCCTTATGCATTGCTTCAAAGATTTCAATTGCATAGAAATCTGCAATTTATTTATTTTATTTTTATTCTGCCTTTAATTAGGAGAAGAATTTTGAAGACAAGATTTCAATCACTAAATCAAGGTTATGTACATAGTTCTCCCTTGCGCTGCTCAGAGAGTCCATTGAATGGGTTGTCCTCATGTCATTGGCCAAAGACTGAGTTAAGATTTGCATAAAGACTCCTCCCCTTTAGGCTTGTCTCCAGTTCATTAACTCAGTCTGGCCATCATGACTGATTTCTTCTGAGCTCCGTCAATGCACTCCCTTATTTGAGCTTCTAGATTAAATTCGTCTTATTTTTGAACTGTTTCTCGGTTCTGACTGACTCCTTGCTGTATCGGAATCGCCGAAAGATATTCACTTTGCTGACAGCCGCTCAGCTGAGCAGCGGCTTGCCGCCGCCAGCCTCTCTCCCTGGCGATTGGGATTCTCCTTTCTTGCCGTGAGTGTGGGCGCGCAAGGGAAGCTGTGCTGTCGGCTTCGCGCCTGAGGGATCGGACAAGCCCCATGTTGTCGGGGCTGCGGTATTCTCTCTGATTGTCAGCGCGACGGGCAGGTGGGAAGGGGCAGCCCCATGTTGTCGGGGCTAGGCTTCCCTCAGCTCCTTTTTTCGCCATCATCGCGAAACCACGATTTGGCCGATTTCCATCCTGGTGGCCATTTTGTTTAGGGCGCAAACGGCCTGTCAGCGCTTGTTAGCTACCAGCTTGTTAACTGCTGCCTGACAACTACCAGCCATCCATTCACTACGTGCCCGGTGTTTCTGGACCCATGTTGCCGGTTCCTAGCCATTGCAGCGTTTGCTTGCAATTGAAGGGGGCCGTTTCGTCGGCATTCCCCGTTTAGCTACAGCTGCTGGGGTTGGTGTTTCAGGGACTGTGTTGCCAGTCTCTCCCCGCTTCTGTGTACCCTGGGGTGTGCCTGAGACACTCATTGTCGCTGTTTTTGCCTGGACTGGTGACATAGC